TGGTACTCTCCTTGATATCATCAAGCTATTAGCTATATATATTTTTATTTTTTCTGGGTAGTGTATTAGCTCTGTAATTGAAGTTGAAGATGAGATTTACAAGAACTGAGAAAATAGAAAGGGTTTAATTTTAATTGAGATTTGAGAGCAATTAACTAAAAAGGGGATTGGGGAATGTGGAATTCACATCCACTAGAACTTGTATAATCTCATCTGGACCATTCTTGACACAAGCAGCGTCAGATTCCTGGGGGATTCAGGTGTCACCAAAGGAAGAGCAGGGAAATATGTTCCTTAGACATCTTCTACCTTAAACATGGTACCCCAAATGCCAAAGATGGAAGGAAAGAAAGTCTTCTGTCATTTATAAGAAAAGAGAAGCAGAATTTGTAGGCTATGAGATAGCAGCTGAGGGAGGGATTCCTTTTCCTCCTTTGATCGAAACTGGATAAATTCTGAGAGAGCTCCTCTTGATCAAATGCGTATCAAGAAACACAACAATAACAGTTATATCATCGTGAAAATGTCTTCTCACCCCTCGATCGACCTTCTGCAGGTCTGAGAATCTCATTTCTCTTTTCTTTGCTGCTTCCTGAAGTGCAGCTTTCACAAGTCTCCTTGCAATCCCCTGTACATAAAGAGAAAGTAAATCATCCCAACAACTCTTTCCTTATGTAAATGATCACTCTGCTGCTGCAGTAATCTGAAAGGCCTTACATTGCGCGGACAACTCTGGACGATGTTAACAGCCTCTTGGTTGCTAAGGTGCTCCCACAAGCCATCTGAAGCAAATATGAGGAACTGGTCTTCTGGTTGGAGCTTATGTTCTAACATTGATGGCTCTGCACTAAGGATAGGCTTGTCGAAGGGCTCTGGCAGTCTGAATTTGGGCAGCAGTGGCTCTTTATTGAACTCTGCATTCTTTAGGTATGCATCTCCAATGGATTTTGAAATCTGACAAGATCAATGAGGAAGGCAAAACCCCTATCAGGTAGGTATGCCATTGATGCATTTTCCACTATCAAAAAGAAGAAAGGAATAGAACCTGTATTATGCCCTTCACTCGCCAAACTGAGTGTTTCATGACAACGATCTGGGGATCATCAGGATGTAGTGTCTTAAGTTCTTTTCTTACGTATTCTAAATTTGCATTGTGTTCTGTGGATAATTGTATAGCTGAAACCCCAGTTTTCCCCTTTTCTATTGTCCCCAAAACCACTCTGGAATCACCTGCGTTTGCAATGTACAGCAGGCCATTGCATAACACTCCCACCAGACAACATGATCCCACTGATGCCATCTTTGGTTTTACAAGCCATTGTTTCTTCACCACAGCCAGAAAATCCTCTTCTGTCGTCAAAAACGCCTTCTTGATTACATTGATGGACATCTCTCTACGCTCCAATGCAAATGCTGCAATAAGATTTTAAGCATTTCCCCATCAAACACAAAGTCTAAACTATCTCAACCAAATTGAGGAAGTATTAATAAAATTCAAGAGGAAAAGTACCCTTAAGATTGGAAAAGAGATTGTAATTGATGAACGAAGCTGCCTCTGGTCCACCATGTCCATCATATATCCCTAAAAAAGTCCCATGAGGACCAGAGCTACTGGAACTCAGTTGCCCCGATTCCAGTTGGCTCTGATCCTCGAGCATACTATTTGCTTGAATCACTGCCATTGAGAATTCTCCGTAAGCATGGTTCCCTAAATCTTTATACCACAACAACCCTTCAACACACCCTTCGGCTTTATCCTCCACAAACGTTCTCCTCCAACAGGATCTCATTACCATTTTTAAGAGACCACTAGACACAACAATATTAGGACACAAAATTTCACATTTATTATCCAAATGAACCTGAAAATAATATATTCATATAATCTAGATCAATAACAAGACCCAATCTCAACTCCAGTTTCTGCTTATGCTCCAATCCCTCAATCAAAATTCTTCCAACCATATAACAACCAAATCTCAATAACCCGGACACCATTAATGTGTCCAAATTCTCAGATAAATTCCAAATGGGTATGGGCTAAATCAACTAAAAGTATCTCTAGGGACAATAAAAAAACAGTTTGTATACGAGTTCAGAGAATATGGAGGTGTGCTGGTGCCGTGTACCTTGAATCTGGGTTAAATGGGTTGAGTCCTTCTTCAATGTGTGTCATCTTAGGAACACACTTAGCTGTAAAAGAACATACGCATTTGATGGAGGCAGAGTTTTGTCTGAGATCAAACAGATCAAGAGAAGCAGCGGATAAGAAATGGGTTTGGAGGTTTCGGGATGTGGCTCCTGAGTTTGATGTCAAATATGGGGAAATTAAAAACAGGATTAAATTACAGAGTCTGACATTGTTGCTGTGTTTTTGTTCTTGTTCTTGTTTGGTTCCTTTGTGGGTCTCCTATCATTGTTGGGAGGGATTATTGCATGGCTGAGATTTTGGGTTTCCTTCTCTCCTATGTGCAATAGCCCACCATTTTAGGCAATTTTTTCTCTTCATACGTCTTTTTATTTCCATGTTTTTGTGCCCAATTTTTCATCGCACGATATTATACAACAAAATATTTAAGTTAAGTGGGAGATAATTTTTTTAAATAATTTTTTATATAATTATTATATATTATTAAATAAATAAATAAATGTATTTAATATTATGAATTTTAAATTAATTTAAAAAATTAATTATTTAAATAAGATAAAAAATATTAATAAATTATTTTTTAATCATTTTCCAAACAATATAACCATCAAATGAAGCACCAATCTACGGCACAATATTTAAGATCTATCCGGGATTGCAATGTGCACACATCTAGCCCTTGACCCTATACCATAAATGCCACAATTATCATTGTACCGTCACATTATTAGTGGAAACGGTATAGTAAATTATTATATGGTAAGTTTAAATGGTAATATAGTAATACCATTTAAACCTGTGGTACGGTATTGGTATTGAAGGTCATTACCATTTTTACCATATGATTACCAAATTTATTACTTATTCAAAACTTTTTCCTCTTTTTTTTTTTTTTATTCTACAAAGTTTTCAATTGTTGCTAGTTTTCTTTTTTTTTTTTTTGATGTGTGTAGGGATGTCAACAAGACCTCGCAGGGCCAAGGAGTCCCTCCCCATCCCTGTCCCCGCAAATGGCGGGGACGGGGATCCCTGTAGGGATTTTTAACAGGGGGCAAATTTTGCCTCCCATCTCCGTTCCCCGCGGGGATTGGGGATCCCCATTTCCCACCAATTAATATAAAAAATAAATTTTTTACATATAATTAATTAATATTCAATTATAATAAATAAAAATTTAAAAATTCAAGTATAATTAATTAAAAATTTTTAAATATAAATTATCCAAAAATAAATAAAGATCAATCTAACATAAATAACTAAAAGGTTAATAATAGGTTGGATAAAATTGGATTAAATTTAAATTTTATTGAATTGAATTTGGGTTTGAAGGTTGAATTAAATTTAAAATAAAACTAATTTACATATTTTTTTAATTTTTTGCGGGGATGGGGATCCCCACAGGGCCCGGCGGGGCGGGGAAAATTCCCTACGAATTTTCACGGGGAGAAAATACTTCCCATCCCCACCCAGTCCCCGTGGCAGGGATCCCCACAGAGCCCCACAGGGATCGGGGCAAATTGCCATCCCTAGATGTGTGCATGTTTTGTATAATTATATATTTGTATGCTTCAAGATGATGAAGAACAATATGGAGAAAATAAGTTTTTAAGATAATTTTGAGTTTTTAAGATAATTTTGAGCTTTTAAGATTGAATTTTGAATGACTTGAATTAATTAATAATGAATAAAATAAGTTTAAAAATGATAATATGGTATGGTATTGGTAAAGCAAGTTTCATTACTATTAAAAACGGTTGGCAGCCATTACCAAAAAATCATCAATTGGTATGAAAGTGGTAACTCTTTTTCATTACCATTTAAAATGGTTACCATCATTTGAGTGCGGTATGGTTACCATCCAGTACCATGTCCAACCCTAACACATCCATCCTTAGGCAGTTTCTTTAGGCAATTAAAAGACATTCAATAATACTAACCTAAAGGAGATGAATTTGCAATAAAAAAACTTAAAATTTTAAATTTAAGTTCTTAAATTCAAGTTTCAAGTTGGATCGGAGAGATTTGAGAATAAAAAATATTATTATTTTTTTATATAATTCATAAGTAGATGTATAAAAAAATACTAAATA